GTGAGAAAGCCCACAAGGTTTCGATCAAGCTCGAGAACCATCTGCGAGGCGGTGAACTTGCGTTGCGAATGCCCTAGAGGTGCCCATGTTCAAATGATGGGACGTGGTGCTGTCCTCAAGAAGATGCAGAAGCATACGAGCCTGAACTTTGCCAACGGTTCCGCAATGCCATCTACTCTGCAATGGAGTTGGCATGGAAGAGACGAGGACAAGCTGAACTGATGACCCTGGAGGTCGCCGAGAAATCAACTGAGGAGATGCAGTACCTTGGTGGCCACGAGATCTCGAAGCCGGTGGCCAACCTACATCGACAACTTGGGCATCCCGATGGATCCAAGCTGGTGCCGGCGGTGAAGGCACGACACCTTCCCAATGAATTTGTCCAGGTGGCCCGGAAGTACAAGTGCCCCACCTGTTTGGCCAGGGCACAATCCAAGAATGTGCGTGCGGCGACCTTGCACACAGCCCCACACTTCAACCACTCCGTGGCCATCGACACCTTCTACGTGAAATGGGATGGAAAACAACGTGCGGTCTTCACCATCATGGAGGAGCTCAGTCGCTGCCGCTACGAGATTGACATGGAGATCAAGGAGGAGTCTGCCGACATGGAGATAGCCCTCTTTGAATCAGCCTGGAGTCGATCTTTTGGCTTCCCGAAAGTGCTGCGACTGGATGCCTTTGGTCCTCACTCATCAAGGTGTACGCTTTGCTGACTGGGCGTCCACCCATGGAATGTTTTTGGACCTGATCCTTCGAGGTGCAGGCATGGAATCTTGGAAAGAAACCATGCAGTCCGACGACGCATGCTTGAGATCTTCCATCGAGACATGGTGAAACTGAACTTTGAACAGGCCATCTTAACCAATTGGTGACCTGCCATCAGAGAAACCGTTTGTCTTCGGTGAAAGGTGCTACGCCTGCCACTTTGGCATTTGGCTACGTTCCCTCCGAAGGAGGCAACTCTGACGAACCTGGACCCGAACACTTTGTCGGACTCTGCTGAGCGCAGGTCATGGAGGTCAAACAGAAGGCTGCACAAGCCTTCCACTCTGCCAAATTTGACTTGGCGGTTTGATGAGCCGCTTTGGCCCGGTCACGCGTGGAGGAGGACGAGCTCATGGTGGGAGACTACGTCTACTACTGTAAACCACAAACTTGCAAGCTCGACCCTTTCAGGCGGCGTGGATTCGAGATGGTGGTGTCTGTGGAAGCTTCAATGGACCGCAAAACCATGGTCTATTGGATCGTTCATGGGAGCTCACTGGTGGGAGCCACAAGGCAACAGCTGCGCTTCGAGACTGTCCCTGAGCGCTACGAGCGTCAGAGCAAGCCTGGCTACCTTCAGAGCGTGCAGAAACCTTTGCAAGAGCGACTTTTGGAAGCTCTGAAGCCAGTGCGACGTCCAGTGAGGGATATTGACATTGCCGGCAAGGCTCAATATCCTGACGGTTTTCCTCAGCTCGGGGGGACTGGAGCAGCCGCTTGCGCACCTGGTGAGGCCCCTCCACATGAACCTCCTGAACCATCGACACCAACTGCAAATGAACCGCCCGCACCTACTGCTACGGCGACCATGGCGGCCACTGCTGCTGAATCAGCTCCCCCAGACAAGACCAAAGCTCGGCCGAAAGCCAAGCTGCCTCAACCTCTCATTGACTTCTGGGTTGATTATCCCGACAGTGAGAAAACGGAATCGGAATCCAAAATCACTGACAAGACCCATCTGGATGAAATGGTGGCCAACAAGGACAAAGACCTCGACGACCACACTGACGGCATGACTGACATCCAGAAGGAGATCAAGCGAAAGTTGGAAGAACAACATCCGGGCATCATGAACTCTTCACACGGGGTGATCGACAAACAAGATGATGAACCACCAGTTGCTCCTGATGATGTGAGCGTTCGAGCCCGTGACAAGCGCTTCTACGAACAAGCAGTTCGAGCTGCCAGCTTCCTCTCCAATGAGCACAACCGACGCCTGGATGGATTGCCTGGGACATCAGCTGCCCACAAGTGCTGCCGCACAGGCATCCCGACCTGCTGTGACTTTGGTGCCTCCTCGAGCTGACGATGGTCAGCCGAAGCCCAAACAGCCTCGAACAGAGGAACTGCGCATGGTGGAGGTTGCCGAAGAGGACGTCATGATGGCGGTCGTGGAGAGTCGGCTGTCTGCCGATGAGAAAAGGGCCTTCACAGAGGCCAAGCGCAAGGCCTTGTGGTTCCATGGCATGAGAACGATGCCTGGCGACCCTTCAAGAGGACGGATTGCCCTCCTGGAACCATTGTGCCAATGCGATTTCTCTTGCGCTACAAGGAGAACAAGCGACATGCTCGAGTCATCCTGCAAGGATTCAAGCACAAGGACGTCATCGAGAGCAAGCTGGACACGGAGTCACCGACGGTGTCAAGGCTTGGCAAGTACCTGATGGTGACACTGTCTTGTGTCAAAAGATGGAAGCTCCCCACCATGGATGTGAAGTCTGCGTTTTTGCAGTCGGACTACATCACCGAGGAGGTGGAGATCTATGGTCCGTCTATGGTGAGCCCTCAGCTGACATGCGTCGTCTTTTGGATGAGATGATGGGACTTCAAGAACATCAGGTGATGCAGATGACGAAGCCTGCCTTTGGTGATGTCAGAGCACCCCGGCAGTGGAACGAAACAACCGATCGTGCTCTGATCCAAGAGGTCAAGCTGTGGAAGCACGAGCTGGATGGCTGCATCTACATGTCAGTCAGACTGGCAGCGGATGGTGACCCTCCTTTGAGGTGTTCGAGCACGAGGGCAACAACTACGTGGTGGACGGTGTCTTCTGCATCCACGTGGATGACATCCTGACTGCAGGTGAGGGCGTGCGCTGCAAAGAAGACGCACGGGAGCCCCATGGTGAACCAACTTGCTATGCGGAGAGACTGCATGTCCTCCTGCATCGCTTCAAGTTTGGCAGTGCCGACTATGGCGACAAGCAAACGTTCTGTGGGTGTCAGATGACACAAGCCCTGGACTCTGCCACCGTCACCTTTGACCTGCAGAAGTACATCCACCAGATCAAGCCCCTCAACATCGAGAAAGCCAGGAAGACACGCCCAACGAGAAAGCAACCCCGAAGGAACAGAGCCAGCTCCGTGGTCTGTTGGGTGGACGGGCATGGCCTGCCAACCAGACGCAGCCGCATTTGGCAGCGTCAGTGTCTCTGGCTCAGGCTGCTTCTTCCAGTGCAACCGTTGCTGAGCTCTTGGAGGTGAACAAAACTCTGAGGTACGCGAAAGAGACCTCTGACATTCACCTGGTCTTCCGTGGTCATGGACGCCTCGATGAGATCCGGTTTGGGATCTACAGCGATGCATCTTGGAGCACAAGACCTGATGGTTCTTCTCAAGGTGGCTGGCTCACTTGATCGGTGGCAGCAAGCCCTTGCCCCTCACTGTGGTCGACTGGTCATCACGGAAATTGACTCGGATTTGCAGGAGCTCACTCAGTGCAGAAGGTCAGACCTTGGCCGCTGCAATTGACAGCCTGGAGTGGGCATGACTCTTGCCAACGAGATCGTGCCTGTGAACGCTTTTGAGTTTGAGCTTGTGATCTTCCTCAGCTTCGACAAAATCATTGGATTTTTCTTTTTCCTGGCAGTTGTCCTGGTGTTTGCGTATACCCTGGGCAAGCGTGCTGGACGCCGAGAAGTACATGGTCTCATGGCTTTGGCTGAGCCCGTCAAGACGGCTGAGGGAGAGGTGCAGGCGCCTCCAACGCCCAGAACGAGAGCGATGACCGACTGTCGACGCTTCACGGCTGGGGAGATTTCTTTCCTGGTGGGCGAGGGCTATGACGTTTGGCCCGACGATGTGGTGGAGCCCGGCCATCGAGGACTACCGGACCCAGTCCGAAATCGACAGGGTGCTGAATGGCGAAGAGCAAGCAGCCCAGGTGCCGATCTCAGCTGGAGATTGGAATGGCATCAGCCGTCAGCGCCGAACAGAGTTGATCCAAGTCCTGGAGGACACTTTGCTCCGGGTGTCCCATACAAAGCTATGTGCGGCGCTCTGCAGACCGAAGCTCAAGCCCTGCGAGCTCAACTGGCAACTGTGCGAGTTGTGGAAGGTGAACTACAACCTCTGAGGGTGGTAATGAGTTCCGTGCCAGATTTGCCGGTGGGAACAATTGTGAGTTCCACCTCGTAGAAGTTGAAAGCTGTGCAAGTACAGGTGACACTTTTGGCCTTTTTCACATCATTGTTTTTTTTCATTTTCCGGCCTGCGTCGATGCCAGCTAACATTGCATCCTGTTGCACATGGGACATGCATGTGCACTTTCATTTAAGCTTTCACTGCCCGTTGCCTGGGCTCTTAGGGCGCCCTTGAAGCCGCTGAAGGCTGCTGGCGGACTTTCCGCTTGGCGACAACTTGGTGGAAAAGACTGACGAACCCTACCGCAACTTCGTGCGTGTTGGAGGGAGATCTGGTTGAGTTTGGGTAAGGGATCCTCCTGTTGAACCCCTACTACCAGATCAATATATGTATATGTATGTATGCGTATGTATGTTTATGTATGTGTATGTATCTGTATGTATATGTATATGTATATGTGTATGTGTATGTGTATGTGTATATGTATATGTATATGTGTATGTGTATGTGTATGTATCTGTATGTATATGTATGTATATATCTCTGTAGTCTGTACATGTGCCCTCACTCTAAAATGTCAAGCAAAAATTCCAGTTTTACATCCATTCGTAGCTGATTTTCACATCTTGCTGGATTGGCAGTCCCGCAATGTGACGGGGAAAATATGCAAAAAAACTGGTGGTGTTTGGTGGGATGGAGAAAAAACATTGTGGCGGTTGGGTGAAAATGTCACAACATGTCCAAAAACATGGTGAAAATGGCCATGATGGTTTTTGTCCAAGCAAAACAAAAGGTTCTTCAACTTGGTTTGTTTTCTGCTTGGAAATGGCACTTTTTGGATCCATCTTTCCGCAAAAAACCCTCTGAAGCCTTGGGCATGAGACCACCCACTTCAAAGATTTGGTCAAGTACTTCTTTGGCGCACACCTCGGCAGTCCATATGGACATGGCTCCCCATCATCCCCACGAATCAGCCCTCAAACACCCCGGCAGAAACCATGGTGGATGTAGGGAATAAATTCAGGGATCATAGAATGTGGGTGTTTGATCTATGGAGGATGGGATTGATCATACCAGTATGCAATTGGGGATGGTACAATTTCCAGCTTTCGACCCATCCCAAAAAATGGTGGTCAACCAATCATCTTGCCGCAGATGGTGCCGAAACTCGCCGAGGTTTCTAACTCATCCAATTGGCTTAGTCGGACCGATCGTTACAACAACACTGAGTAAAAGATTGTAGAAACCAGATGGGTTTCTCATGGTTTGCCCAGAGATGGGTTTCTCATGGGGGGAATACCCCCTTTCTTTGGGTTTTGGATGGTTTTGGTTTCAGACTAATCCACATCGTTTTGGTGCATCAAATCCTCCAAACTCTGGTGGCGAATTTCTGCCAGCAAAGGGCTGACTTGATCTCTAGGTCTTCGGTGTTCCCGGCCGCTTCGAAGACAAGCCAAAGCTTGGAGATCCTTGGTATGGCTTGGTGAAGTCGGGATGGGCCCCACCAGTGGCGACAGATAGGGAAAGTGAGAAGAGACACCATGGGGTGAGACGGTGCGACACGAACTCTTCGTTTTAGAGGTATGTCATTTTCGAACATATCCACATGGCGCCATCATTCAAAGCCAGCGAGCCACAAAAAATCGAGACAAAATCCGATCAAAACATTACATAGGGGGTTATCACCAGAAACGGGTGACACTGCAAATGTGCGATGTTATCAGGGAAAAAAGTGAACCTTGAAACGAATACAACCCTACAAGGCATGCAAGTTGCAGGCCCCGTTGCAATGTTTTGAGATGGTTTCACTCCTGGGCCTTTGGGGAAACGGAAGAACTGTACATTGACCATCTCGAACAACACCTTGCTTGAAACTTTCTGGCTACCCCAAATGCCACCAAGAATCAACACCAACCACAGCGTCCCTATATGTCTCTGGGGGAAGACTGACATCCCTTTTTGAGATGGCTTTTGGTGGTGTGATAGCCCAAAAGGTGTAGCCTCTAAGACCCCAAAGGTCACCCGCCATAGCCGCCCTAAAATTGCCCTTGCCTTCGGCAGTTTTCCTGCTCAGTATTGGCTGTTCCTCTGATTTTTCCTTACAAAATGTCCCAAAAAGATACCCAATAGTAATTATTTCCAGGCTGGTAGTTCGATGATGTTTTCCCATGTTTTCGACGGAATCTCTAGGTTCCAACTGTTCCAACTTGTCTATGGCTGGTTGCCAAACCAACCCACAAACGACTGGACGTTCAACTGTTCAGGCTCGCCCCGATCAGCACCGTCGTGCGCTCCATCATGGTTTCGATATTCTCATTATCATATTCATGGAGCTGCTTGACCTCAGAGTGCTTCAGTAACAAATGCTTGGTCTGGGTGCAAAATTGAGATGTTGTGTCGTTGACTATCATTGTATCCTCCCCAAACTCTTTTACTAATTGTGAAGTAATGATTTAGTAAGTCTTCATTTAACGAATTTCGACCCGCATGTTGGGATGAGTAAATACGACAAACGAATACAAATGACTCAAATGACGAATGTTGCGGACCCTAGATATTTCTGAGCTATGCCCAACTTTTTCCACTGAATTAGACAACCTGAGATTAGACAACCTGAGAAACTCTTACTGGGAGACCTTGCCAGCAACGGTGCTTGTTTTGAAAAGGTGGGCCATGGATTCAGCGGTGCCGTATGTTCCGACAGACCCAGATGTAGGATATGAACAAGACAAGGAAGTTTAAAGGCAACCACGGGTGTATGATAACAAATGGGGATTTTGGCCACCGCACCACCCCATTATTACCAATGGCAACAATAGTGGGAATTCAACCCGCCAAAGCATGGTGAGGAGGGTGTGGGGCAGGGTGGGGTTGGGTTCGGTGGTGGAGATGGAAAATGTGTCCAACAGAAAGGGTTGGGGCCGGGGGCGGGGGCTTGCCTTTCTTTTATATAAAGGATTTACGTGTGTAGGACTATGACTATGTCAATCTACATAGATATATTTGTGCACGCGCGTGTGTTCAAATGAGTCCGAGTATACATGTGAATAACTGTAGATGTGTTTGCACATGGATGTGCATGTATGCGTGTAAGCTTCTGAATGAAGCGAAACCAGGTCTTTGCTGTCGTGTGTCTAACAGGAGCGTTCTCTCAGCATGTTTGGTCGCGTGCCAAAACCACCCAGACAGGGGCGCTGTTTCTAGCGACCCAAACATTCGCGTGCCATGGGTATCAAAATCTTGGCTCAAAGCCCAAATAAGACCCTTTTTTGTCTTCCGCATGACCCCATTCAGATGATCAGCTTCAAAAAAACCAACAAAATGACAAAATCCATAAATGAATCATGAACCTCGCTTCCGAATTGCCATAAATCGGGATGAATGAAACTGAGTTCCATGCACCAGTTGACTTTTTTCCCGTCCACCAGCTATATCCTGGCCCAATGAGCCGCTTGGAAGCCGACCCAAAAACCTTAAGAATTTTTGGAATCTTGAGGGACCCAAAATTAAATGCATTTTAGATATTCCCAAATCACCATATTTTAATAGGTGGGATTCCAACCATTCCCAAATGGCTGGTTTATTTTCTTTTACCCACATTATTCACTAAAGATTTCTCTGATATTCCAACACAAATGAACAAAAATGGGTCCAGACTCAGCTTTAAAACGTGAGGACAAAAGCTTGGCCTGACTTCGCCATCCCCGAAAATCAGCCACATCGGACCCCCAGCCGCGTTGTTCGGTCCTTTGCTCAGCCACTTAGTCACGGTGACGCTTGACTTGAGCATGTCCTGAGATTGAACCAGCAGTTAAGAAAACGCTCTGGTTAATTCAAATTCACAGTAGCTATTGTGGTGAGACTATGTCACTATGTCGATATTTATTGTAATTACTTCATAGATGAACCAATGTCATTCCTTTCTTTTCATGGGTTCATAATCCCCAATAAGCCGGGTAGGTTATGAAGCCCATTGTCCAATCAGTTGTATGGTCACTGAACTGCAACCTTGGCGTCGATGACGTATTTGGCTTTGTTCAGACCGCCCATCGCACCCGAATCAGATGAAAACATCGAGAGGAAAGTGATCCTGACTTGGGACGATGTCGGGGGGCAGAGTTCTTCTGCGAACTGGAAGAAAATGGGGACCGGCACCTACCAAAAATTCATGTTGATACGTCAACCTTTTTCAGAGTGAATAAAAAAACATCTTGACACGCAGGAAAACACCGAGAGACAAAACAGGTTTTGTGGTTTGGTGGTCAATGGGGGACAAAACAGGTTTCAATGACCATCCAAGAGGGGCAACTGAGCAGTAGCCATGGTTTGATGGTAATCTAGCCATGTTATTTTTGAGAACCCAGGAACCCTTGGTTGCCAGGGAAAAACCAGCAGCTATGCGCATGATTCGTGTTGCACATGCAGAAATTGTTAATTTACGTGTATGTATATATATATTATATATATATATCGTAGATAAATGTATATATCGTAGATAAATGTATATGTTATGCATTTACGTACGTACGTATGTACGCATATACTCATGTACGCATGTACGCATGCATGCATGGATGCATGGTTGGATGAATGCATGGATGCATGGATGGATGCATGGATGGATGGATGTGTGCATGTATGCATGATGTATGCATGATGTATGCATGATGTATGCATGATGTATGCATGATGTATGCATGATGTATGCATGATGTATGCATGATGTATGCGTGATGTATGCATGATGTATGCATGATGCATGCGAGATGTATGCGTGATGTATGCGTGATGTATGTGTGATGTATGCGTGATGTATGCGTGATGTATGCGTGATGTATGCATGCATGGATGCGTGGATGCATGTATGCATGTATGCATGTATGCATGCAATGTAATGTAATGTAATGTAGTGTAGTGTAGTGTAATGTAAGGTAATGTAATGTAATGTAATGCATGTATTTCTGTATGTATGTACGTATGTACGTATGTACGTATGTACGTATGTACGTACGTACGTACGTATGTATGTAGGTATGTATGTAGGTATGTATGTAGGTATGTATGTATGTTCGTATGTTCGTATGTTCGTATGTTCGTCGTATGTTCGTATGTTCGTATGTATGTATGTATGTCTGTTGGTATGTATGCATGTATGCATGTATGCTGGTATGTATGTGTTGGTATGTATGTATTGGTATGTATGTATTGGTATGTATGTACCTATGTATCTATGTCTCTATGTCTCTATGTATCTTTGTATCTATGTAACTTTGTTTGTACGTATGCATGTATGCATGTATGTATGCATGATGTATGCATGATGTATGGATGTTGTATGGATGTATGGATGCATGAATGCATGGATGTATGGATGTATGGATGTATGGATGTATGGATTTATGGATGTATGTCTGTATGTCTGTATGTCTTTATGTGTGTAATTATATGTGTATGTGTGTAAGTGTGTATGTCTGTCTGTCTGTCTGTCTGTATGTCTGTATGCCTATGTGTCTGCCTGCCTATGTGTCTGCCTGCCTATGTGCCTGCCTGCCTGCCTGCCTGCCTGTCTGCCTGCCTGCCTGCCTGCCTGCCTCCCTGCCTGCCTGCCTGCCTGTCGGTCTGTGTGCATCTGTGCATGTATGTGTATACAGACACAAATCCAACAGGGTTCAGCTTGGTACTTGTGAAAAAATCAGCATGACTTGACCCCACTCATCACAGGGTTTTCCACCCATGATTGTGATGCGTTCAAGAACTGGGGATGATGTGAGAAGCTTGGAACCTACGATCATTAGGCTCATCGACTCATCAACCGCTCAAGATCTCTACAATGCACAGTCAATTCTTATTCAGCCAGCCTTAGCCAGAATATCCCAGAA